TCTTTTATGTTATATCATGCCCATATCATGTATTTTGGGGGTGCTGGAAACTGATTTCAGTGGTGTTAGAAGTAGTTCTTTGGATGATTGTTCTGTTAGTGTGTGAACAGTTTTCAGTGCCTTTGTTTCCCCCCTTAAACTTAAGCAATATTAAGGAAGTCTATTGTCTTTACATTTTCACAAGCAGTATTTAAATAAATCTATTTTTCAGCGATAAAGCTTTAAATCACACTTGATTCCCCCCCCATCAAATATTTCAATTCATGTATAAATTCCTATAGGGAAATAAAATATAAGATAGGGTACTTCCTAAATTTGCTTACTGATGTAAGTCAAAATGCTTGCACTGGATCAGATCACACTCTATTTAGAGAGCTGGGAAACTCTCCAGTTTATATTTTCCCAGAAAACCCAGATCAGTGCACACAACAACCCTGTGAGATAGGTTAGGATATGAAAATGCAGCTGGCCTGAGGTCACTCATCTCTGTGGCAGTGGTGGTGTAACTCTCCAGTTTATATTTTCCCAGAAAACCCAGATCAGTGCACACAACAACCCTGTGAGATAGGTTAGGATATGAAAATGCAGCTGGCCTGAGGTCACTCATCTCTGTGGCAGTGGTGGTGATGGGGTTTGAGCCTGGGGGCCTCAGACCAAGCCAGACACTAACCACTACACCATGCTGTCTCTCCCCCTTGAGAAATATCATTTCCACAGAAGATGATAAAAAATGGAAGGGGGGAAGGTAGAACTCCTTCAGAATTGAAGAGGCCACCACCTGCTGAATTTCTTCAGAGGTTCAGATACATATATTTTGGGTTTCTTAAGAATGATTTGTGTTTTCCCTCTTGTTAAATGCTCTGTACTCTTTCGCAGCTTGGCCTGTCAAGTTCTTCCGTCACTGTGCAGAAGATCTTCAGTACATGGTATCATTGGTTTAGAATAAAGCAGGAGCTCCCACAGGGGGCAGTGCCTTCACCCTGGGCGGCTGCTGCCGTGTGTCTTGCCTAGAGATGTAAAACTTCCAGAAATTTTGAAACCACATGAAAAAAAGTAAGTTTTGGAAAATTTGAAATATATGCAGTACTTCTTGTCCTGTCAAACATAAACTAATTTTCTGCCTTAACAACATAAAATGCATCATTTATGACTTACTTAGCATGGAGATAGAGCAAGATGGGTAGCCGTGATTGTCTGTAGCAGTAGAAAAGACCATTAGCACCTTAAAGACTAACAAAATATGTGGCAGGGGATGAGCTTTCATGAGTCACTGCTCACTTCTAGCAGTCACATATTTTGCTAGTCTTTAAGGTGGTACTAGGAGCTGTGGTGGCTCAAGTGGTTAAGACGCTGAACTGCAGGCTGTGGAAGGTCGGTAGTTCAGCAGTTCGAGACCCGGGTGCCGCATGATGGAGTGAGCTCCCGTCTCTAGTTCCAGCTCCTGCCAACCTAGCAGTTCGAAAGCAAGAAATTGCAAGTAGATAAATAGGCACCACTTCGGTGGGAAGGTAACAGCGTTCCGTGCACCTCGGTGTTTAGTCATGCCGACCACATGACCACGGAAACGTCTTCGGACAGCGCTGGCTCTTCGGCTTTGAAACGGAGATGAGCACCGCAACCCTAGAGTTGGATTCGACTGGGTTTCGAGCAAGGGAACCTTTACCTTTACCTTTTTAAGGTGGTATTGGACTCTTGCTCTTTTCTGTTACTTAGCTTTTAAAATTGAAATATTCAACATATTTATGGAAACTGAAAGTTATAAATGCCTTAGTTTTCTGCAAGCAAAGTTGCAAATATACCCAATACTTGAGAGAAAACTGCATGCTGAAGCACCCTCTGCTATCTCAGCAAGTGCACCTTAATTTTTACTGTCTGGTTAGAGAGAGCAAAGGTCTTTAGCAAACTTTCAGTTTTTCTCTGCGGGTTTGGTGCAGTTTCTGTCCCACATACCTCCTCCTGATCTTTTTTTCTCCATCCTGCAAGGTAGGGCAATAAGCTACTTTTTAACCTAGTCTGTGGGTAAATTTGTCACAGTGGTTTGGGGGAGATGTGAAAAGCTCAACCACAGAAGGCATTCACCTGTTGAGAAGCAATTAATCCCTGCACACTCCCCTCATGAAGATTTGGTATCCTTCTAGGTGAAGAAAGGCACCTTGGATTTAAGAGCTGTATATGTCTACAGCAGACCCACCTTGTCTTTAAAAGCATTTCACTCGTTCTAAAAGAGAAAATATTTCATAGAAGCTTTTTTTCAGTACTCCCCCAAATTTCCAGTTTTTCAGTTGGAAAAAAAGACCTCAGGAATAAACCTGGAACAAAACAATCCCCCTCCCAATGTTTCTATCCCTCTTCCCCCAGTATTTCACATCACTAGTCTTGCCAGCAAGGGTCTGTTCTGGTCCTTGACCTTCCCTCCCTGTCTTTCTATTGTTTGTTCCATATTTCTGCTTTCACTCAGGCTGGGTGTGATCTCAGCAAGCTGGAGAGAGATGTCCTATCCCTTACCTGCCCTGCTGTATTGAGCCCTATGCAAGGTCTCGCTCTCCTTGTTTGTTTGAGAGAGCCAGTTTGGTGTAGTGGTTAAGTATGCTGACTCTAATCTGGGAGAACCGGGTTTGATTCCCCACTCCTCCACTTGCACCTGCTGATGTGACCTTGGGTCAGTCGCAAGCTCTGGCACAGCTGTCCTTGAAAAAGAGCCGTTTGTGTCAGAGTTCTCTCAGCCCCACCCACCTCACAGGGTGTCTGTTGTGGGGAGGGGAAGGGAAAGGAGTTTGTAAGCCGCTCTGAGACTCCAAGTGAAGGGTAGGGTATAAATCCAATCTCTTCTTCTTCTTCTTCTTCTTCTTCTTCTTCTTCTTCTTCTTCTTCTTCTTCTTCTTCTTCTTCACTGAGAAGGCCCTAGATCTGGTGACAGCCAGTCTGGAATCCTTGGGGCCAGGGACAGTCAGGCGATTTCCCACCTCACAGGGTGTCTGTTGTGGGGAGGGGAAGGGAAAGGAGTTTGTAAGCTGCTCTGAGACTCCAAGTGAGGGGTGGGGTATAAATCCAATCTCCTCTTCTTCCCCCTCTTCTTCCCCCTCTTCTTCCCCCTCTTCTTCCTCTTCGTTTTCTGTTCAGTAGGTCCATATGCAGCCTCTCTGGGCACCATTACTCAAGGAAGCTCACAAAAATCCTACATTGGCCTAGAAATTGTGAGTTTGAGATCCACTGAGAAACAGCTGCTAAAGAATCATACAAGTGAAAAAATACGTACAGATTTATTTTCTGGATTTCAAAACCACGTTTAAACATTTTTAGTCTGAAAACAAATTTGCCTCAGAGTCAGATATTTACATACAGTAGATGTGACTCGTTTGAAGTTTATTTCAAACATGCTCTCATTCATTGAAATCCTGGAATAAAGCAGTGCAGGCCGAAACAGGGATGGTGCTGAAAATAGAGAAGCAGCAACAATGAAGTAAACTTTTGTCTCTTTCAGGCAAAACTTTAAGGAGCAGAAATCTTTAGCCAGTGAAGTCACCATGTCTGGGATTGGGAACAAACGAGCGGCGGCAGAGTCCAGCCCCTCGGGACCTCCAGAGAAGAAGGCCGGGGTTGAAGACTCGGGGACCACTGTGGAGACCATTAAGCTTGGTGGTGTCTCCTCAACGGTTTGTATTTCTCTTCTGCCTTCTTTCACTAAGCCCTAGGGAATACACCAGTAGGATTAATTCCACTCCTATAATGTGCTGTGATATTGTCTTTAGTCTCACTTTGACTCCAGTAGTTGCTAGGCTAAGCTCCATCAGCCATTTGGGTGTTTTGAAGCCAAGTTCTTGCTGAAGCACTTTGTGTATCTCAGATGCAGATAAGAGATAACATTATTAACTGATCTCTCCCTGCACAGAAAAACACCTTAGCATATCTAGGTCAAAACTCTTTTACTTAACCCACGGGGTTTCTGCATGGAGCTTTTTTGTTTGTTTGTTTAG